ACCATATTAAGTAACAGAGAGAAAAAAAATCATCTGGTTCTGTGTTTTTAGGTTTTGAAAGACCATGGACAAGACTTTCTTGTTGGCAACCAGTTAAGCAGGGCAGATGTGCACTTACTTGACACCATTTTAACGGCAGAAGAGTTCAAACCTGATATCCTTGCCAAATTTCCTCTCTTGCAGGTAAATGAATGGAGAGTTTTAATGGACAATGCATTGGAAAGGACCACTGATTTAAACTGGCTGAGAAACAGGGGAGAGTGGGAGGGTGAGGAGAAAAGTGACATATAAAATAATCAGATATGCTAAGTACTTTTAGCTGGCCTCAAATACTGATGGTTATTGCCAGCTTCTGTCTTTGCAGCCACAAAAGCATAATAGAGGGAACCATGTAGTTTCTTCTGCAGCATCAATGCATAATGTTACTTTTAGAGCATGGATAACATCAAAATGTCTGACAGTTACAATGCTTCTTAAGCACAGTGCTGTTTTGATTTTGTTTTGTAGAGTTTTAAAGCAAGAATAAGCAATATCCCCACAATAAAGAAATACCTGCAGCCTGGCAGCCAGAGGAAACCACCAATACGACCAGAAGATATACCCAAACTGAGAGCAATTTTCCACTGAGCAGCAGCCTAAAGCCACAGAAACCCTCATTTCATTGTGTTTGCTGATAGCGACAAAGGGAAATGAATGAAAACAGTGAAAAGGTTTTTGATCTCTCTTTCCTTAGCTACAGCACTGGTTTGAGACTACTGTTAACACTTCCTAGGGAAATCTATACAAGCATACCAGAAAATAGAATAGTTCACTGATTGGGAGTATATTGGACAACAGAAGATATCTTAACTGACTAAAGAGAATACCTGAAATAAAGTCTTACTATTGACACTCAAACCCAGGTCGTTAATTGACTTCCTGATGCTACTTATATACCTAAGAGCTCTCTGGTTCTGGCATTCCTAAGAATTGCTGGAAAATGATGAGAGTTTAGCCCAAACAGTAGGTGATGTACCTGTTCTGGGAAATGCCAGGAAAAGCATGCAGGTTCCGGTTAGATGGGATGACAGATTAGGATTTGGATTTCCTCTGAGCTTAATTTGGAGGATGCTGGGACCAGAGGTCCTGCTGCACCTCTGTTTTGTGACTGGTTAGTTAAACTCTTCTACTGCAGCTTCACCAATATTTCCTTTAACTAAAGGTCCAGTGTAGCAGCTAAAAGCACTTTGCAGACTCGATTGAGAAACAAGTGCTTGTCACTAACTGTGAAGTTTAAAACTTGTTGTTTGAGGGAGAAGGAGTCAGATTGGTGTCAGTGTTAGAGAGACCTTGGAATGTAGCATTTCATGTTGACTTCCATCACTTTGTATTCAATGAAGTTTAGTATAAGTTGTACTTAAGTTGTTCACTGTAATCACATAAATCAAGTTCTGCTACTGAGAGGTTAACAAGACAGTTGAACACATAACTATGTGTCTTGGTCTCAGGAAAGCTGTCCCTGCCCATGGCAGGAGGGTCAAAACTAGATGTTCTTTAAAGTGTCTTCCAACCCAAACCATACTATGATTCCACGATATTGTTTAAACACCAAATAAACCCACGATGTCAGGGAAAGAGCAAGTGCCCTAGGAACAAGTAATGCTCTAGTGCTGGCAGTTTTAAGCTGGGCAAACTCAGGGTACTACAACTCCTGCTAACACCAACAGTTTCTTCACAAGCAATGTCATGCATCTGGAACCAGTCCTTCTCATCAAAAAGGGAAAAAGCCCAGCGTTTTTCTGCAGCAAAGCATGTATGAAACAGAGTTGTTGCACGAGCGCTTTCCCTCCCTCCTCACTGAGGCTTTCAGACAGCACTTGCAGCTGCTGAGCACTGTCAGAAACTCAAGCCAGAAACTTGGGTTGTGGTTGCCAACTCTGGGCCCTGCAATCTACAGGCTGGGCAGTTCCAGGATCCTGAGCACAGACCTCCTTGGGCCACGCAGAGCCAGAGCCCCCAGCACACCAACCACCTGGCAACCTGCTCATGGGGCTGCAGCCCCGGCCTCTCCCCGGTCACAACATCCCTGTGACCCCACTGCCACCTCAGGGGCCTCCATATCTGTCCCCTGCCTCCTCTTGCCCTGGCCATGTCCCTGAGGTGCAGCCACCTCTGAGCCAGCCCAGTGGAAATGTTGTCTAGAAAAATGGATTTGTTACCCGGTATGCAACTGGCCAATAATTATGCACTAGAGAGAGACATGGATTATTTATTTCTGAGCTCTGCAAGCCTGGGTGCTCGCTGGTATTCCACAAAGCAAGTACACCCACTATCAAAACTTTTTACTCTTTATACATTTTTGCAAACAAAGGCATTAATGTTCCTTGGCTACAGGTGACATGGTTCTCTTATTACTTATTATTCTATCTTCTACTGGTTAATGATTCCCTCACTTCTCTTGCTAATTAGTCCAGATGTTCAGTGTTTCTCCCTCTTTTGGGTCAGTGGGTTTCCTGTCTCAGCAGCCCCTGAGTTGATGGTCACAATCTCCCCCTGCCACAATTACCTTTTACCCAGTTGGAGCTGATTCATCACAGTTGCTGAGTTGTCTTTATTAGTTTCTTCCTTATCTTGGCAGTTCTTGCCAAATGTCCTTGTGGCCCAGAAATTCTGCATTCTTCGTGTCCACTAGCAGTGGAACATCCTTCTTTCCAAGCTTTGTTAACACCCCCCCACCACGCCTGACATCATTGAAACCTGTTGAGCCCTAAACCTTAACAAGGCAATTCTACAGATAATTATTTTTCTTTCACTTAGAACTGGCTTCTTAGCTGCCATCTGTTTCACGCATTAAATCTCCTTTCCTCTTGGTTAGGCTTGAAAGTGGACAAAGATCAAACATCAGAGAACATCCTTTCTGAGGAAAATTTTTACGTATTCCACATTTTGCAACAGAAACAGCCGCTCCACAAGACTCCAGGGACAAGGCCGAGATGGCTTTTTCGTCAGCCCTGGTTGTAGGGCTTAGGGATGCGTTTGGACTGCTTAATGTAGGTGTCTACCTAGTCAGGTGAGATGAGTTTTCCCAAGATGTCTACACTGTGATTAACTTTCATGCTTAAACTCAAGTCTTCTTACCTTGCAGTCCTCTGACACAGTGGATGTCAGGTCCTTGTAGGAGTAGTCATTACACCTGGGTTATCTTCTAGAGTTCATTACGGCCAGGCCTACAAATTATTAATCCAGCCAAGCTACCTAAGTGTGAGTTTGAGTGTGTGGAATGCTACCAGATGCACCTTGGTGCACATGTCTATGCAGGAAAAGCTTCCTTCTTCCACATTATCTGAGATTCTGCATCATAAGTCATTTCAGTCCAAAATTGCAGGAAACACTGTTTCCAGCAGTGGAGTTTGATCTGCTCCTCTTCAAAAAAACTTTGCTAACAGCAAAATTCAGCGCTCCAAGAAGGCTAGAGAGGAAAGCTGTTATTTCTCAAGCAAGCAAAGAAAACCTTCCTAGGCAGAGTTCTGTTTCCTTATAAAATAGGAACAAATTCTTTTGAGTTGGATGTTAACAGAAAACAAAATGTGTGCAGGTTGTGCTTCCATAGCAATACCAGGAATGGGGTTCTGCTGCACAGAGCAGAGAGGCCTGGGGCTCTCTCTGGCTGCCCTGTAGGGCTGGCCATGGTGCCAGAGCACAGGCTGCAGAGCCAGGCTCTGTGGAGCAGCAGCTGGAAGCCAGCAGGTGCCACGGAACATGCACAGTGGCATGGACACCTCTGCATAGGTGACTCAGCCACACTGCAGGCTTTTGGAGGCTGGAGAGAAGAATGTCCCCAAATGTAAGAAGGAGACAGAGGACCATAAGAAAGAAAGGAGCCCAAACAAGAAGGCAGAGGCTACAGGATGGTCTGTCAGTGAGGAGTGCCCTTCTGGGAAGCCTGGCTCTCCTTCTGTGCCGTATGGGGTACAGAGGGTTCCATTCAGGGACCAGGCACCTCCTGAAAGACAGTCCATTGCAGTGGTGACTATTTTGATGCCTTATCCTCCTGTGGTTCTAGCTCTAAATAAAGTGTTAAGCTTATTTTTACATCAAGCCATGGACTACATTGGTCTCTCAGGTACCAGTGGTGGAGACTGATGGGGTGAGGATCATTTTCATCTACAAAGCAGCCAAGTACATGAACAGGAAGGATCCGAAGAAGAGAGCCCCCTGTACTATAAACAACTTGAGGTTTTTTATTTGACACACTATAATTCATACAACCTGCATGTGTAACATGGGAAAAATATCCCAGCTGGCAATTAGGAAATTCAGCAGAATTTTATAGAGATGTAGACCTTGACTGCAGGTAATGGTTACAACAGCATTAACCAGCTAGATAGGCAGGATGGTTCACGGGAGTTTATGCTGCATTGACTTTTTGAAATCAATACAGTTGTCACCAAAAAGCATCAGGAGTGCAGAGGGCAGTTTGCCTTCTCGTGCTGTACTTCGTTCACTGCCTCCTACAGTTGTCTTTGGTGAGCATTTTCAGAAAGTCAAATTCTGGGAAACATTTTGGACAGAAAAAGAATAAAAAACCCCTCCTATGTGCAGGAATGAAATTCAGTGGAAATGTCCTGAAGGAATATCCCCATCACTAAGCACGGGATAGAAGCTTATGAAGGATTCAAGCAGAATCAGTTGATGTGACTTATGTAAAGCGGCAAATCATAAAGTATTAAGATGAAAGTCTGACTGGGACAACAGTATTCTTTTAAACTTTGTGAGCTTTTCAGCCATCACAATTATTTTTAATTAACAGGTTGCCAAGCAGTGAAAAGAGGAAGCATACCACTGTGTGCTGGAACAGGTGTTCCCATTCATCATGACCTCTCATCTATCTTACATTTGTACATAGTCAGCATGAGTCAGGAAATTATTTTTTGTCGATGAGAAGTAACTAAACAGAACTAATTGGTTTTATTTCCTTAAGAGAGAGGAGTTTCCCATTCCCAGAGAACCCCTTGCAATTGTTTGTGGGAGGGGCTACAGACTTATATAATCTCCAGGCAGAACTACTGAGAGCTTAGAGTGAGTTATAGTGTGCACAAGGTAAGTTTTTTGGATTTTGGGAAAGTATAGGGAATTATTGAATTTGAAATGAAGTCAGTGAATGGGTTTTACAGATTGTTTGTACTTTCTTTACTAATGTGACGGTTATATGCATGAAATGTTAAAATATTAGTCAGCTACTTCCTAGGTGTACAGAATGAAGAAAAAGAAATGTAGATCTCAGAAGTATGGAGTATTTCCTTATATGTCCTTCTTCCTATTGTAGAGAAGCTGATATGTTATTTAAAAGGGGAACATGGTGGGGTTTTAGCCATTTCCCCTTTGCTGCTGCTAATGCTTTAGCTTTATTGTTGAGACGGTGTTAATAACTGTGAGAGTGGTGTAAACCAGGGGCTGTCTGCATGTTTGCTGCTGCTGTGCTCATGTGGTTCTGAATGGGGCAGATGGTGATCTGCCTAGAAACTGTTACTGCTTTATATTCCAGCAAAGTTGAAATTGTCAAAACAGGCATTGCCCTTTAGCTCTGTCTGTGGTAAAGGCAGATCTGATGTTACCAGAGACAAAATTAATTTCTATGTCTTTGGAGACTTGTCTAAAGAAATTACCAGAACGGGGAGTGTTGTAAAGGAGATTGAATGCTTACAAGAGGAATAAATATTCCTTCCTGCCTCTTTACAATGGAGCATAATGGCTGCTGGTGAAAGCACAGCAATTGCTGAGTTAATATGGTGTATCTGATAAACAGTAAACTGAATGCTGAGATAATGCCAAAATAAACAGAAAGCTCAGTCTGCTTTTTGCTCAGAGCAGAACACTTTGGATGCAAATGGGTTTGGTTTGCTTGTTCTCTGAAGTGGGCCAATGGCTCTTGGTACAGAGTTCTGCTTAACGAACCTGCATGGATAAAAGACATTTTTAAGGCAAGGTGATACAATGCAGTCTCTCAATGTACTCTAACCTCTACCTCCTTTAGTAAGTCCAAAGTCTTGAACCATAAATCATTGGTTTCAAACAGGACAACTTTGAGAGCCAATGAGAGACTCAAACCCAGCATTCTGAATCTTTATTTTGCAAAATTTATTTTTTTATTCCAAATAGGAAGAAACTATCAGGCACGTGGAAACATGTCTGGGAAACCCAAGCTGCACTACTTCAATGGACGAGGCCGAATGGAACCAATCCGGTGGCTGCTGGCAGCAGCCGGGGTTGAGGTTTGTCTCTTTTCTTATATCAAGAGCATGTGACAAATATGTACTTTTAACGTTCCCTATAAAAAATGTGACTGACTGACCTGCAGCTTCAAGGCCTGCATTTAGTGCATTGCTGGCCAAGCCAACAATGACCATGCGCTTACCTTAAGCAGGGGCAAGTTCCAGTCTCACTTCCATGCATCTCGTGCCAGGCCTACTGGTAGCACCACAAATGCCTATCCCCTGTAGCTACTGAAAGAAAAAATTAAAACCACAGCAGCAGAACCTGGCTTCTTACCTTCTGATCCCAGGGGTCGAGCACTTCCAGTTCTGAAGACCTTCAGTTAAATTTCAATGTTCAAAATAGCAAAAGACTAATTTTGCTACTACAACATAGCTTACCCCAGAAGGTACTTTCGATTATAAATCAAAGTTTTCTTTTTTGCCACTAAGACTTTCTGATATTGAAGCAGAGAGGAGTGTGGGGATCGGTAGTTTGTGTAAGCTGTGAGGTTTTGTCATGGTGATGGCCAATGCACCAGAAAGCTTTGAAATATTATTTATTTTTTAAAAAATAAAATGCCCCAAACACAGCCCCCAAGCTAAACCATGGAACAACAACTGAACTTTTCTTCTCTATTTCTTGCAGTTTGAAGAATCTTATCTGGAAAAAAAGGATGATCTGACAAAACTACAGAAGGGTAAGATACCTTCACTATTTAATAATAACACTTACAATGATAATGATAACAACAACAATAGCAATAATGATAATAATTTGTCTGAGAACACCTAAGAAGTCTTAGTCTCTTAAAAAGATAATCTAGACTTGATTGTGCTTGAGGTATCACAGACACACACTGCAGTGTGTTAGGTGGCCTCATCCACCCAGTTGCTTCAATCTTCACTGAATCGCAGAAGGGCTGAGGTCAGAAGGCACCTCTTGAGATCATCTATGCCACCTCCCCTTTTCAAGCAATACCACCTACAAGCCATTTGCCCAGTCCATGTCCAGCTGAGTTCTAAGTATCTCCAAGGATGGAGGCTCTCTGGCAACCTGTGCCAATGCACAGTGAAAAAGCCTTTCTGTAAGTTCAGATGACTGACTCTCCTTTGATTCAGTTTGTGTCCATTGCCTCCTGTCCTATCACAATACAGGTTTTTGTCCTCACGTCATCTTCAAATTCATTAGCATTTTAGGTTGCCTATGACGTTGTTGTTTTATAATCCATATGAAAACAGAGTTCCAGATCTCTGAGTTTAACCTGTAGCTCTGATGCATTCCTGCTTCCCAAGGCAACTACTCATCTTCTAGCTTCAGCTTTTGTCTTTGTGAACGTGATATTCACATTTCCTCCAAATCATATTACATGTCTGGGCTCTTCCCTTGGCTTTTGAAAAATGGCTGAGCGAGGGTTGGCATGTGCAGTCCTGCTCTCCTTCAGGAATAATGACTTGACCCTCCTGCCACCTGCTGCCTTTCAAATGTATTTTGAGACACAAGCATAAATGTAAATACGCCCTGAATAGCAGAGAGTTTCTTTGCATGATTGCCTTACAGTGGATGCAAAGAGAGACATAGCTGATCAGTTATCTGATCTGAAATAGTATTCCATAAAGCAAAAAACCTCACTCACTCCTCTGATCTGGTGATCTCTTTCTGGAGGTATTTTTACTTCTTCCTTGTTAGGTCAAGGCTTCTGCAGACTCACATCAAATGATACTTGGGTCTTGCAGGAATCTCATGGAACTCCCCTGTGATTCCCCACCTCATGCCTGTACAGATGAGATGCCATTGTGCAAAGTCAGCATAGAAGTCACAAAGATATTGTATGCTTTTCTATTTGCATTATATGCTGAAAAGTCCTTAAATTGTCCAGATTTTCATAATACTTACCAACGCATGAGAGAAACTGCTGGATCGCATCCTTCAGTCCTTCTCATCTGTATTAATCTCCACAAAAATCATGTGAGTTAGGGCCATGCCACACATGTCTTTTTCTGGGCATGAAAACTAAAAGTTCTGCATTTGGGTGCTTGCTCAAATCTGAAAAATCTTCAAGAAGTTGATTGCTGTAATATTAAGTTAGTCACGTGTCGCTGAGATATGGTTGTTTCATGGTAAGCATTTTCCCTCCCTTCTCGTAGGAATGAGGAAGATTGCCACCAAAAGAGTTGTCAAGCATGGGAACAGGCTTGCCAGGGAACTGGTTGAGTCACCGTGTGTAAATGTGGCACCTGGGGACATGGTTTAGTTGTGGAGTTTGGCAGTGTTAGGTTTACAGTTGGACTCGATCTTAAGAGTCTTTTCCAGCCTAAATGATTCAATGATTCTAAATAAAAGATAATATGTGTTGTTACTTTGCCTGACCCCCCCCCAATGGTTCTCATTCAGAGACTGAGTGTCTCCTTGTCTTATCTCCTTTTCCCTAGATGGATCCCTGCTCTTTCAGCAAGTGCCAATGGTGGAGATTGATGGCATGAAGATGGTGCAGACCAGAGCCATTGCCAATTACATAGCAACGAAGTACAACCTCTACGGGAAGGACCTGAAGGAGAGAGCCCTGTACTGTAACAGTACCACATTTTCTTGTTAGACCGCAGTTCACGCTACATCTCTGTGTAACACAGGAATATCCCAGCTCACAGCTAAATTCAGGGTGATAGAGCAGTGCTTCATGCAGCACGTGTTGACTGTGACTGCAGGTGATGTCTAGGGCAGTGATATCCAGCTCGATTAGATGGGCAGCGTGGTGCAAGGCTGCTCATGAATCATCAATCCAAGGTCAAGACAGTTATCAGAAGAAAGCAGTCAGGAGTGCAGACTGTCTTACTCTTGCTCCTCTTCAGTTTTTTCTGCAGAATGTCACAGCAGGCATTTTCAGCACGTCAGACTCAGGGACATGTGTTTGATGGGAACAAAAAACCTCCTCCTTCTAAGAGCCAGGAATTAGAGTAGAATTAGCATTAGTAACTGGTTATTTAACAACAGGACTCTTAGGGCACATGGTTTGACTGGAGGTCTTTTGAAATGCTTCAAATTAATAAGTACTGGTAAACAAATGTCAAGATATTTGTTAGGAATTGTATAGACCCACTATTTAACTTACTAGGTCTGATTGGATTTTTAACACAAGTTTAAAAGACACACCTATTTTGTACTCAGGTTCAGAAAAAACATAGTACAGAGAAGTATCACCCCTAGTGAGAAGTGGAAGAGGGACAGTATTTAGGTTTGGGTTAGGCACTTTGCATTTGTCTTTCACCCAAGCGTCTCCCATGTCCCTTGATGCAACTGCATTCTGGAGGGAACTACTCCAAGCTATAGATGTGAGATCGAAAAGGTGGAGATTTCCCAGCACCTCAGCGGGGTTATGCCAGTAGCTATTGTGGCATTCAGACCTACTGTGTTTGACTTGACCAACTGGATCTGTTCCTTTCAGAATCGACATGTATGTGGAAGGAATGTTTGATCTGAACGAGCAACTCATGTCCTATGGTTTCCAACCAGCAGATAAGAAAGAGCAACATTTTGCTAATATGGTGGACAAGACCACAAACAGATACTTCCCAGTCTTTGAGAAGGTATGTGGCAAAGATGTTGTAGCTTAATCGATACTGTTCTCCTGAAACTCCATCCTGAATCTACACCAACAATTTTTCTTGAGGAAAACACTTAGAGATACTGCTCTGGTTTTGATAGGGCTGAGAGGAGGATGGAGACAGGACACTACAGAGGGTACAGAAGGCACTACAGATCTGGGAGATGTGCAAAGCTGCAAAAACCCAGGACACTATGAGCTTTACAGAGGTCCATGTTTCAGTCTGTATGTTGTTTTAGACAAATAAAACTATAACATCAGCTTTTATGTAAAGTTGGCATTCCTCCTGAAGTGCAGATGCCCCTCTACTATACAATCTATGTAAAAGCATTACAGCTCCTTCTGTATCTCATGAAGCTTAGCATTCAATGCAGCAGCATCGACTACTTAAGATACAGAAGGGAAGACAAGAGGAGTACAGCTGAGCTGACAGAAAGAAACACAGTAAAGAAGGGACTGATTAATCATTCCTAGGAAGATCACACCATTTGTTTGTACTACAGGTGTTTGTACTGCATTTCATTCTTTCAAGGACAACTCTGTGCAATGTATAACCTTGCCTTGAAGATACCAT